ACCGGTAATTTCGTAAAACATCGAATCAATTAAATCAACCAAACCCCCTTAGACCATCTTGCGTAGAGATGCTTTCACAATATATATAAAAAAAACTTATCGTTTTTCCTTTTTTCAAAGAATTTTGCTGCCGAGGGCCACGGAAAATGGAATAAGTTGTAATAATATATAATCGCTCTCTTGCTTTTCATAGACTGATCAAATATTTACCCGTTTTTTAAAAGTCAGAACGCTTTTCAGGGTGGTGTCGTTAAAATAAGGTACATTTTCCCTCTACTCTTTAGTTTGCTGTTGTGTTAAACTTAATCCCCACAGGTAAAAATGGATTTACTTCTAATGACTGAAGTTCAGAGACCTCATCATCGGAAACTCATATTGATCAACAAAGGAGACATGCATTAAGTAATACATATAACTAATGCTTAGGGTTATAGCGAGCTAAACGTCAAATCAGCGCGCACCAATGCCTGCAATCTTAGAGGGTTGGTTTGAAGTGAACCGTATAAGCTAGTTTCTATATTAGCACATAATTGAAAAGTTTTGGTGTTGTTTTGCAAAATCAAACTTATGTACGGTATCCATTGCATTCCCTGGATTACGTGCTAGCTTTCATAGTAAAAGATCGTTCACTCACCGAATATTTGATAAAACATACTTTTGGTTTTAATGGATAATATCGAACAACTTTTGATTGTACATTCCCCATACTTATTTTACAACCTTATAATTCACGTAACCTTAACCAGGTCCCTATTACATTGGCATTTATATTGTATGCTGTTCCGCTTGCAAATATATTTAGGAATTTTTCTAGGAACTCCAAATTTTTAGTCAGAACTGAATCTCACACTGACGTTGCATAGATCATAATTAATTCAACATATAACAAATAGTTTACGCGTAAATTTTGAAATGTCCATAGCGTCCAGTTGGAACTTAAGTCATGCGGAACACCACGTCCCTTTCATGTTCTGAGAGGTAGGCCTAATGACACCTAGACCATTGATTGCGGACTGGAGCTAAACATTTACAGTATATATATGATATATCCTTGTTTTGCATTTCCGTGTCCAAAATCTAAAACACAACACTTTTCTGCAGATTGTCATTAGTCAAGGCTTTCAGTACTTTCGTAAGAATCTATTGTAGCGTGGTGCATGACAGATTTCTCAGGTGAACTATTTACAGGCCAGTATATTCTTATCACCCTCGTAGATTTTTAGTGAGTTGAACCGCGGCAACGTGTACGCTCGAGATTTTATCTATAATATATATTATAGGGTTCAGTATAGTGCCTTAAGCACTTCCAGATGTTATACTACCATTCTCAGTGTATTGACCATTTACACAAACCTTAAAAAGGCTTCAAGCCAAATTGCCGAAGGATCTCCTACTTGAAAGAAGAGCCAGCAGCTTCGAATGCATTTAAAAGATTTAAAGTTCAAGGTATATAGAGCCAGTGCACTTGGTCGCTCGGTCAAATTCGATATACAGTATCTGGAATGTTCTTGTATTATCTCAGTCGGTAGACAAACTGTGCGTCCGATATCACCTGTTTTGCATCAACTTTTTTGTATATAGCTTGGGCTTTAAGACTTACTAATATTTTTCACGCCACAGGGGTTAACAATATCGGCCGTTTATTGGAGAACTCTACCTTTGAACCTTTTCTGTGGATAGCTATCCCAAAGTTTCCGTGTACTTTTCCTGCATCTTCGAGAGATCTTCGAAAAATCTATAAGAATGCTATGCACACTGAAATTCCAAGTCTCTTCATTATTATTGAAGTCAGTTTATCGGCGCTTGGTTTGTTTTCGACCGTAACTGTGCTACCAGATGTTCAATGAATGGGCATTACCGTAGTATACAACATTCTGAAAAGGCCCTCCTGGGATGGCAAATCGACCTATTTAGTTTCTTTGCCTAACTAGGTCAATTGTCAGAGATGTCTCTTCGAGGTTCACTAGGATTTCGGTTTTTTTCATGTTTGTCATGCATGTTTCATCAACACATCGATCGAACTGTGCTTAGAAGGACTTCTACTGCAGTCCTTTTGTAAGCGTAGTCGCGGATGTACTTAAATTTCGAGCTGCATATGATAATGTTTCCATCGGTACACGTCGCCTCTTTAGAGCTCTGTTTTTTTTTCCGTAGAATGGTAAAGTTAGCCTTGTTTTTGGTTTTTGTAACGGCTTATCTGCCACGATATGGGCATACATATCATTTAGCAGATACACATCATATTGACCTGCAGAATTTTCGATAAACAAAAGCCACTTTGATTTTGTTGTAGTGAAGCTTTCTTTTTTTTGTTCAGTTATAACTCACTGAAGGAGTGGTATCAAAATGGCAGGCAGGAGACGTTTAAAGCTAATAAAGGTTTGCAGATAAGCGAAGATTTATCTAATCGATGAATAGTTGTGTAAAATAACACGATTTAAATATAAGACTATTGTATAAAATGGTAGTACCTAAGTAGTATAAACGTCGATGCATTTGCTTGATTTGGAATGTGGCAAGTAAGTGAAATACAGTGTAAGTGTACCCGGAATACAGAAGCAAAATTCTATAAGAGCATACCTAATAATGAGATCTACCTAAGTTGGCAGATATAAAACCTTGCTTGGAATGTGTAACCTTGGAAAAATAAAGATAATAAGTGCCACTCTGACCTTCGAGAGTGTCTTGAGGATAGCAATTGTAATAAAGCAATGCCAAATAAACAGGCGTATTGTGAAGAATAGAAAACAATTCACGATGACATATAAAATGGGTATTCCGAAAATGTTTTTTTAATATACGCAAAGGTAACAAATAAAAAATGAAATAAATGAATCGACTGCAAATTGTGAGGAGAACAATATAAAAAGATTAAAATTAATTCAGTTAATACAATTAACTGAAGGCAGCATAACATCTGGGCACTATCATGGGTAAAATCAAACTAGTATTACCTACCTCTTTTTTTGTTTAGAATTTCGTTTTTGAAGTAATTAAATCGCTGAAGTTTCTACAAAGCACTAACTTTCAAGTTTACAATGGAAGATAAAAGTGTCGACAGCTACCAATAGTTTCGTGTTACGCACCGCACATTACCAGGACGCTTAATTTCTATCGCTTACTTAAAATGAGTTACATTTAACTGTATCATTAAGAGCCACTGAGTTTGTTGTTTTTTCTTAGTGCAACGCCAGAGGCGTTAAAAGATATAAAATAGGTTTTCTGAAAGGTTTGAAATTTCTTATCTAGTGGATGTTTCATTCACATAATTTTTTATCAGTTTCCATTACCTGCGGAACTCTGTGCATGAATTTATATAGAAGCTCCCTATTTTAAAGTTCTTAAATACCGGCTAATTGGTTTCCGCTTTTTGATTATATCAACCCTAATTCAACATAATCATTTGTAAGAAAGTGTGTGGGTCTAGCAATTTAAGCTACTGTCCAACTTTGGCCCAAGCTACAAAATCCTATAGGAAATGTATCTATGACTATCATTCCTAAAATATATTTGTATTAATTATGCGTACGGGTACACTTATTGTACCACACGAATTGTGCCTATTGGCGTTTCATTACAGAGATAACGCGACTAAAATATTTTAAAAATTATGATCATTAAGTAGCATCTACTAAGCAATGTAGTACGTTGCGAATTAATTACTTTTCTCTGCTCAGTTATTTCACTTGCTACACGAGGTACCCACTGCAAAAGCCTCTTTTCAGCGACCTGTCGAAAAACATAGTTATATCTTATGATACGATTTATATTGTAGAGGTTTAATTGCATCATATGTTACCGTTATCATTGATGCTTTAGTACATATAATCAGAGGGAAATATTTTACTTAAAGAACCGATATCGGAATTCCTATAGTTTATATCACTAGTGTAACAAGGAACTATTTAAATAAAATTTTGTGTTTTTTCTGTCTTTTTTTTTTTACAGATTCAAGGTTTCTAAAGACTGTTTGTAGCACATATTTTCTTAGATTCACCGATTTCATATCCAGATATGATGACAGAAAGAGCATATTGTGATATGCTCTTGATGAAATTCTCAAGGGATCCATCTACTGTCCAAAACTAGCAATCTTGTAAACTTCCCTACATCAAAAGACCACTGTAGCGTACTACAAAGGTATGTGCCCATACCTAGTTCTCCAGGGTTGCCGTTCGGCCCTCGTTTTTAGATGCAGTAGTTTTAAACAGTCTTTTTCAGTTTCAACCACTCTTTTCACGAATTGTGGTAGATGATATTGTTGTAACGCCGCCGCTACCGAACTGACTTGTTGAATTCGGGTAACGCAATGACTAAAGCCCGCTTTTATGCAGCTTATACGTTTTCTAAAGCTACTTCAGGTAATTATTATTTGTTATCAATTTGGAAGCTTCGTCATTGTTTATTTTGACTTCTCTGTTATAAAGTGTCGTTTAATCTAATCTAGCCTTCCGGTGAAACCCGCCCTTCAATCGTCTACTGACATACCGGTGATTCTACCGACTTTGCATCCCTGTGTTACTCCTGTACTAAGTTGCACGAAAATATAAAAAAGTTTAAATGTACCTTATATATGTAAATTGGCTGATGCCCAAAGTTTCACACGCGTATAGTTGGAAACAAAAAATGATTGCCAGCAGTTTTTTCCCAATTAGGGAGATCCACTATTAGAAACCACTTCGTGCGTTTTGCTCTGCGTTAAATCTAATTTACGCATTTTGTACCCAATTTACCTTTTCATATGTATTAAAAGAGACTTCTCCTTGGAGTAAACGTTTCCTTAAGTTAGGGTCGCAATTAGGAGTGGCCGCCATTGTAACAAAGCCATACTGCAGATGTTCCGGAAACTATCCTCGTTTGCAGCAGTGCCATCTCGCGGCTTTCCCGAAAACTCAATCGGTTAGTAGCGCCCTCTGTTTCCCTCATTCTCCCCGTTAGGGAATATATATCTGCTGAAGTACCCTCCCCAGGTTGTAGGTACTCGTAAACTCCTCGTTTCACGTTCACAGTGGACTCGACCATGTGGCCTGGACTCGGTGAGTCCGCCAGGAAGAAACAAAGATCTAGCTTCCCATATAGTATTACCATTGCTACTGCCAGTGCTCTCTGCTCTATTACTAATCGGACTGGTATAAGAGCGGGAATAGATCAGAAAGCGATTCGGCAAAGAGTGGTGCGAGTCATGGCGGTGCAAGCCGAGCTGGATGAGCGGTAGCAGTCACAGGAATGGCCAGTCGTGTCATAACATTACGATAGATAGAACTGCAGAGCGCATAGTGAAAATTCTTATTAACTGGTATCTTATAGTGTTCGGATTCTACAACGTAAGTAGTGTTGAGTGCTGGCCTCGAAGTGTTTCGCGTGGTCACTGCTGGATGCTGCCGTTGTGATAATCAGCTACTTAGTTCCACGTCAATTAAGCAGACCATCTGGGAACAGTATTTGTATGCGTACGTCTATGTAAGGATCTTCGTACGTGTATGCTTGTGATTTTGCATGATGAAAATGATTTTTACTACCATCATCGTTCATTAAGTATCTTCCTTTTTTTTTTCTCATTTTTGATCATCGTTATTAAGTACAATATTCTTGTTGCTTCGTTCACCTATGGATACCGTCCCGCCCGCTTAGCATTCATCTGACTTTACTAGACGTGAAACAGTCTTTGCTCTGTATAAACCAAATATTGAATATTATATATGATGTCGAGCCAAATGTTGAGTCAGTGAGTTAAATTGTTTATCAATTGGATTGTACGAGGCAGCGCCATAGCGTTTTCATCTGGTTACACATTACACCCAGTGGATCACAGGGAGAGTTCAAGCGAGAGGCAACTGACAAGTTGCCTGCTCATTTCGTTCCGCCCTCTCGACGTAGGTAAACAAGTAAGCAGAATTGCTTTTCAGCTTTACAAACCTACTTTTGTGCAAACTAATCATTTATAATGGGATTATATGTATTGTATGGTCGTCGGATAATTGAGCTTGTTCAAGTTACATGCAAGTATAGAGAGGTTAGGAAATACACTACACCTTTTAACAGAGCTCAGTGGCGATTTGCTAAATTCGTACGACGATAATATATGATTAACCATGCAGTTGCATTATATAATGCTTCGCTTGACAAGCAAACGTTTGGCCGATAATTTGCGTTTTCCTTTGAAGACATTGTTGCACAAAAGCTTACAGACGAAGAGTACAACTTTCGAAATTGTGCTCTATGTGCAATAATATTGCAGATTTTTAGCTATTACCGAACGGGCACATCTGTGCACGTGCAAGAGAGAGGCGATGACACACCTCAATCATGATGTAAGAATTTAATGAGAATATTCATGCTCACAGCAGAAACTGACTATGATTAAATATTTTCAATGGTCTCCGCAAAAGATACCACTAGGTTATCTAATAACCCTTTTAGCAAGGTAATTGTAAATGTAAAAATACCATTGTACAAACATACATACTGACTTTAACGATGTTCTCGAGAAAACTCGACCCGAACTTGTGTTCACGACTATTACGATCGGTGGAGCTACCGGTAACTATACTTAGAGAGCAATCACCGTCTTTCTCTGAATGTCAGTGAGACCTTGCTTGCAGACAGAACGGCTGTTACAACGCTGAACAACTGTTCAAACGTCGGAGAGTTCGCCGAGTGAGTTCGATATCTGTTGATGCGTAGCTTTTGTAATTATTTTATTATTATAATCATCATCGTATTTGGCGATGTTTTTGTGAGCATGGATTCGTATTTCGCAAGGGTATGAAACTGATCACTGTAAAAGCAATTTTAATACATCTATTTGTAAATTTCGCAATTAAAAAATATGTACCTTGTGTGCACGGCATGACCATGAAATGACTGACAGGTTGTTTCGAAACGGCCTGCTAAACAGACGCATTTAACCGAAACACCTTTTTAAAATTAAACTCACAACTAAGGTCAGAAACTAAACGTCATACAAACAGTAATGTTGCCACTCAATGACCCAACACAAGGTTTTTATAACTAGCTGATACGTAGCAATGTTTCATCTTATAACGAAAAAAAATCACTTAACATGAACTGAGTTTCTCATCAAAAAAAAGAAAGAAAAAGAATAACTAACAAATATAACAAATAATTATGCCAAGTCAAAGTTGTATCACTTTATAAAAGTTTTGGGATCCAATGACGGGCGTCTCGTCATTTTTTTAAACACTTAAAATCTGCTGTTAATAAACTTCAGTAACTGATAAACACAATAAGTTGGTCGTATGTTTGTTCAGTGCAAGTGCATAGTCTGATAGCTTTAATTTTCATTGAGAAGAAAATCTTGAGCCTGAAATTGGTCTACGATTGTAGTAGGTTGAAGTAAAAAGAAAGAGTTCTTTATATTGGTATTACATCAGGGTACAAATAGAGATTTCGAAACTATGCCCCTATCATTAAAGGTGTCGAAGAATCACAATTATCAAAGTCTTTTATTCGCTCAAAAACGATTAGTAGAGCAACGTAAAGCCAACAGTCGCAGGCGAAGTATGTCGACCGCTTGTTTATGTAGATATGAACTAACCTAAAAATATGTCAACAGAAGTAAATCCTTCGATGCCTTGTTCGTTACATCCTCTACGTTAAAATACGCGTTTCATTCAAACAAGAATCTACCTAGAGCGATCGTATAAATAGTTTCCCTATAGTCAAGTATATCCGTATAGCTTTACCTCAGCATATCGTCAGCGGCAAGCATCGCGTCAATGTATTTTTCAGTTCATTCAAACGGATACTGATAAGACAGCCTAACTGAAATTTCTTACACTATGATTATCGGTAAATTTTCCTTCAGTTATAGCCCATAAATTAAGGGAGATATCAAGCGTGCTTCTGTTCCAGCAACAAATTGTATGATAGTACGACTGTTGAATATACATACAAAGGCGCGAAGTTCAGGCGAGGATTAAGCGAGCTATGCGGGAAGCACCCCATACGAACATAGCTGACAAAAGTTTATGTTACTGTTTCTTTTGGTCGTATATTCACTACGCTTCCAGTGACTTTTATGTTTTCTTCAATTTACTTAGCATTTTTTTGTGTAATACTTCTGCGACATCGTTATTTCTTCGCAACTAACTTTTCATCTGTAACAAAAGAAGCATGCCGTGGAAATTCCGTTACTCTTAACACGATTCCCACAATGATCACGCAGACGTGAGAAGCAGCATTACGTGGCAGTTGCGTGTAAGGATCTGATCCACAAATGTGGAAGCGCGAATCTTGTGAGATGTGTAAATACTATATTAAAAGGGTTGTTCCCGATATCATGTTGTAAGTTGATTACTGTCAATTGAAGGTGATCAATGTCATCGTTTGTCACTAGATTATTTTGTTCAAAATACATTACTTCGCGAATAAAAGTTTCGCGTCAATCTCCATTGTCCATCTCCATTCTTCAATGGTTTTCTTCAGCACCAACAGGATAGTCGACTATTACGTCGTCGACATACGCTATAGTTTTGACACCCGGATTTAGGTACATACGTAAATTTGAATAACAAAATCTAAGCTGATCGTTCTGACATTGTTCATTACGGTCAACCAGTAGTTGGCTATCGGTGAGACTATTGTTGATTCGTTTAATCCAGAAGGCTGCATTCCACTTAAGCGAAGCTATCCTGTAGTTTGGCAGTGTGTCTAGGAGTTTTTATGGATGAAGGCCCCGATGTTTGAAATTAAAAATAGAAGTTACTACATGGTACTAAGTGATTGGTTAAGTATCCGTCCAAGACATTTGCGAAACTGGAGTATCGCAGACAAACAAGGTCAATTTGCAAAGATGGGGCCTCGCAAGTTTTTCTTCAACGGCTCCACCAGTGATGCTTTCCGTTATATTCCATAGTATGGAAGTTAACTATACCAGGCGTTTTCCTCCATGCCCCAGACGTACAGCCCCTGTTTGTAACTTAAGAGAATGTGACGTGCGTGAAAATACTTATGATTTCACCGGTTTCGAGCGTACACAAAAATATCATGCAAGATTATTCAGTATTTTAGTAATTGGTGCATGCAAACCCTTAGAGGTCTAGTTGCTATTATTAAAGCTTAAACACGCTTTCAGCTGAAGAACCAAGGTCATTAAAAAGGACAATATCGTTCTATAAGGTGGTGTATATCGCTATTGGGTTTCAGCATCTGGGGTATATGTGTAGCAGAAGAAATCTTTGACGATGTTAGCTTCTAGCGATCCTCTGTTGCGAAAGACTCATCCGTTTTCTGGATGGCTTATAATGAATCTTTGATTCTTATTTGTCATGACTCGTGTTTGTAGATTACGCTAGGGTCATTAAAAGAGAGGACCGCCTTTGTAAACAGTCGTTCCTCTCTTTTCAATTCCTCTCTTTGATTTGTGGTTTTTCAAGTTTCTGCTAATTGTGGTCATCGTTGGGTATATGCTTGTACAATTGGTCAGTGCTCTTAGTGGTCTGTGAAGATTTTGAAACAAAAGCGCTTATTTTGAGACTGCTTTGAGTACATGTCTCCGGAAGTATATTCTCTTGTCCTTTATATAAACTTCCTCTTATTGACTTAGTCAGCTTTTTTGTGATCACAGGACGGACGGAAGCTGCCACAGTTAGGGTCTTGTAACCTCGTATTATTGAAGGGAGAAGATGGAACTTGCGCGTCTTTAGAGGAGTTTACGCCACATAGAACGAAGTCCACATTTGATATTCTCAGGAGACGTGCTGTGGCCCTGTGTTCGTGTGGGATTTAGAAAGAGGGCTCTTTAGAGCTATTTCGGCTCCCATTGCAGGTGCTCTTTGTTTTTTAAGCAGCTCCTTGACTTCCAGTTTATGCCGAGTAAATTTAAATCACATACACGGTCAAGTTCACTGGTCAGCTATTTCATGTTTTCCGGTTGGAGGAAAGTACACACAATAGGGCCGCGTTAAGTTGTTTGATAGAAAAACATTATTGACGACTGGTTCTGATTTGTTATCTGCAAGTTTTACTTGCGTGCATGGAATTCTCTGTTGCTTAGAATTAAAATACGACCGTTTCTTTTTCATAAGCTTGGCAATATATATCCTGATAAAGCATAACTTTGTTGAGTGCGTCTTCTGATGGGAAGTTATGTTTCTGTGCTAAATAAATGCATTGTATGTTAGCATTAAACAAGGGTTTAGTATGTTCCGCAACTACACGGATCGAATCCGTGGTTATTGCGATTAGACAGTTTGCTTTTGCGAACATTATAAAGGAGGGTAGATTTCTGTCGTCTAATTTGGTTGCGGACAATAAATTCACTGTCCCATAGATTTCCTGCTTGAAGGGATTAGCAGAATACAGAGATGGTTGTCTAGACTTTGTTTATTGACCCGGGTTGACCTGTGCATTAGGTTTGCCATTAGCATTAACGCCCTAGGCTTTACGAGTAAGTATATACTCAAAAATTGAGAACAAAAATCAATTTAGACACGTTG